TTTGATCATGCTATTCCTTCCTTTGTTTGGAAACTCAGTGATACCACATTTCATGCTGAACGAAAGCCAGGCTCTTTTTTTAGCAGAGCATGTGGAGATTTGTACAACTCTATTTCACCTTTACCTTTCAAGAATTACCTTGAGCAGCTTTTCTTGGCACTTAACTCCATACTATAGACAAATGGAATAATTTTTCTTCTTGTAGATCCGTATTCTCCTAGCTTCGTACTTGGATTATTCAATGTTCTTAATCAGCAGAAGAAGCCGACTGGCTGATTGAGCAGATGGCGAATTTATTTAAGGATATTTGGTACTTCACGGAATTTTTGGGAGTGCTGGAGAGCCAGGCTTAAGGTTAAGCTTCCAGGCAATATGCCTCAAATCACATCTGAGAACTGTTACTTTTTTGCCCACCAACCTGCCTAACTATTGCCACTTCTGAGCTAGGAATTTGATTCTGCAGCTACCGTGAAGCCTCCTTTTCCACTGACGTTGTGGGAAAGTAATGCGTCTGCTGTTGCCTATACTAGCCAAAAAATGGTAGCTCCACATAGAGCCCACTTTCTCATAAGACTCACTTCCAAACTGAAATCTTGTGCTGGTGCTTTTGAATGTCTGCATCATTGTTGCAGGGTATATTGGGAATCTGAGGTTGAAATTTATTTTGGGAGGTTGTGCTCAATAGTGTGAGAATATTCTTAAATACAGAAAGGTTCTTCAGAAGCTGATAGGCAGCTTTGACTGTGATATTAATAAATATCCACTATAATACTTTTGCTCATATTCCTACATCTGTAATACCTTTCCCTTTTCAGCTCCAGGTAAACAAATTCTGTACAACGATCAACTGGAATTCTGTTTTAGTCCACCTGGCTCATTCTCATCTGAATTTTCTTAAAATTTAATCAACGTATCTTTTCTTATTACTCTATTTTTTAAAAAACGACATCAGAGCACACAGTAATTAAACTATGTTCTGGCATAATAGTCAAACAATATGGGAAGACATAGAATGCATTGTGAAAGTTGCCTTTCACCACTCGCCTGCAACCCCCCAAAAGTTCAAATTGTTAGTCTCCTTTCCATATATCCTCTTCCAGGATGGTTCAGGTGGCCCTGAGGTGGTCAGGGCTTACCTATGACTACTGCCAAAAAGTAGTCTTGTCTCTGGTCTCATCTTCGATCATGCTGTTCTGTCTCTCTTGTTGTTTTATATCAGTTGTTGAACACACTGAAAGCAACATCTCGGAGAGTGTTGTGGGGAGTGTGGGGCCCCAAGGCCAATTTTTGGAGTTATCTTCTAATGTCTGGGGCCAACTGACTGATGAAATGAGTCCGCAGTACTACCTCTCTCTCAGGGCTTATCAGGTCTACATTAGTATATTTGTGAATGGCATTAACCAGTCAACCCTCAAAAAGGGCTAGATTTTCATCAGGTCTTTGTGTTACCTCTCTCACCATATCATAGTGTACATGCTTAATGATGTGCCTTTTCATTCCTTCTGTGAGACACATGACTATGTGATCTCGGAGTTTTACCCCCTGCTGGCCCCAACCCTGTTGGTAGTTCCAGTTGGGATCCTGAAGGGGGACAGCTGTCATTCCCACAGTGTACTGGAGAGGCTGGACTGCATTTAAGGCATCCGCAAAAGCTTGCACCTGGGCCCATGTGTGCATTTTTCTCCTCTGGGGTGCAACAGTGAGAGAGAATTACATTAAGGTCTCTCCATGTGAGATCAAAAGAAAGCTAGGCTCTGAAACTCCTCAGTAAACTTTCCTGGGTCCTCAGAAAAACGGCTAAGGTTTGTCTGGCACTGTGTAAAGTCTGACATGGAAAAAGGAATGTGTACTCTGGTGGTGGCCCCTTGGCCCATGGCTACTTCCTGTAAAGGATACAGGAGTCCAGGGCAGGTTGTTGAGGCTATATCGTTGGGTAGGGTGGAGGTTCAGGGGCAGAGGCTGGAATTGCCTTAAGGGGTCTTGGTCCCTGCTTGGGAGGTTCTGAGGAGGCTTCAGAGTTTTCTGAACTGGGGTTAAAAGAAGGTGCAAGGTTTACATAAAGGGACCTAGGAGCATCCAGTTTTACATGGCATTGTGTTAGGGTGCAAGCTTCTTATGCTCCTGGGTTTTCCTGTGAGGCCATAAATGTCTGAACATAAGCAATTTTGGATTATTTCTTCTGTTTGCGAAAGAGGTCTAATTGGAGGATAGTATTATTGTTTAGATTCCCATTGACTGGCCAGACCTCCTTGTCACTCAGCTTATATTAGGGCCAGGTAGTGTTACAGAGGAATAAGAGTTTTTTCCTTTTTATGCTATCTTATTTAAAGGAAGCCCAGTTTTGGAGGATACAGCTGACGGGGGTTGCGGGGGCAGGCACGCGGAATCCCTCAGGATGGAAGGGGTGTTGCCTATTTCTCTGGCTGTCTGAACAAGACCTGAAAGAAAGGAAGAAAAAGGAGGGGGTCATAATGGAGTCTCCCAGAGGTTCCTAGGGGTAATAATAGAGCCATAGGGGGCTCACAGGGGAGAGGGAGGCTACGGGCCTCCCTGTCCTCTCCCCTGCCTTTTACCTGTTGCAACGGTGTCCATGGTCGCATGTGTTGCCGGACGCTTCTCCTCACGCTGGTGGACATGGCCCAGGGGGACCTCCCCCTTCCCAGCATCTACGGACCTGGAGGCTGGGGTCAGGAATTGTCTAGGGGCTTGAGGTATGGACCATGTCCAATTATTAGTGTTCCTATGCTGGGATGTATTTCTCTAGAAGTGGCATCTCTTAGGTTCCAAAACTTCTGATAATTCCATTATCTTCCCTTCTAGATGTGATGGAGCATTTTTAGTCCCAACAAGGTGGTTAAAGGGGATAGAGCTTTCTGAGTCTTGAAGGCTCCTCTTTTATTCTTCATGTAACATTTGATGTCATCAAGTTTTGTTCCTATAAATGTGGAGCTGACCTCTGTAGGAGTTCTTTTATCCCAAAGTACCTCTACTCTGTGGCATTCAGTCAAGTGTCTGATCAAGCAAGACCATAGTCCAAGTTCCCTTTCCCTTGGGTCACCCTGTCTGTCCCTGTAATCCTTCCACAAAAACCCAGTACAAACACAGCAAACGGGGGGAGATTGGCTAACATTATAAGGGCAAGCAGTGTAGGGGCATCCCAGCCTTGCAAGGTGGAATATTAAGTCACTTGCATCTTGCCCCCAAATATGGGGCAGCAGTACAGAGAAGTAAGAATGAGGTCTAGCAGAAGAAGCCAGGCATGGAATTGCCATGGCTTAGAGAGTGAGTATTTGGACTGCTACATGGCACAGGGAAAGTCCCCTGCCGGTTTCCTAGGCTGTTGTCACCCAATATCTGGTGGCAGTTTGAATCTGCATGGCCTGAGGAGAGACCCTCTGCCACCTTGGTTAGGGGGAGCCACAGTCAGCCAGATAGAGCAAGGTTATGCACCTGTAACTCACTGAGAAAATACAAAAGCGGTGAGACTCAAGAATGTACTTCCCTCAAAGTATGGTATGACAATCAAGGCTTACGTAATGTTTACTGGCTGGCTGGCCACAAAGGTGTTACCAGCTTACGAATGGAGGTTTTTCCAAGTTCTTGCTGTTCATAGGGAAAAGAATTTCAGGACGTACCATGAAAGCCAAACAAGTGATAGCCTTTTATTGAAAGCAAAAGTACACTTCAGGGAGGAGAGTGGGCAGGCTCAAAAGAGAGCAGCTGCATTGGGAGGAAATGGTTTTAGGTCTTTTGTAGTCTTAGTAATTGAGGGGAGGAATGTTCAAGGCCGAGGGGTTGGCTTTTACTAAGAATTTGGGTATTAATTCCTAGAATTGGGTTTCCTCCCATTTTCTTACTTTATACAGTTGTCTCAGAATAACCATGGCATGGTTGATGTCATGGTGATTTCAAGGGTGGAGAAATTTTAAAACCACAATGTAAATGATATTGTAATTAGCCAAAGTTCATGTAAGGTGACAGAGATTCCCGAGGAGCTGGTTGAAGCTGGTTCTTGCCTGCGGTTATCAGCTCCTTTTGTTTAAGGTTGTTTACTTTAACATCTGCACCCAGTCTTGAAGCCCCTGCATCCTGTCTCAGCCCTGTTTCCTAGTCTCCTACTCTGACACTCTGATTACAAAATTGTAATCTTTGGTTTTAATTTAGCAAGTATAATGGTAATTTGGCATTTGATGGTAAGCTCATTGAATATGGAAGCCCTTATTTATCTTTTGGTCTTTCATAGAGCCTACTAAAACTATTTCTGTGTGTAGACTAGTATGATGTGAGGGCCTGACCTAAGATAATAGATTTTCAGCCATTTTGGAAGTAAAAATTTACAACTTTGGGATTTAATAAATGTAAAGAAGAAAATAGGAATCAAAGTAGACTCCAGAATTCTAGCTTGGAATATATATCATTGATGATGCCACTAAGTGAGAGTGGAAGCTTAGGAACTTCTCTTTCTCTGCAAATATATTTCCAGAACTCTTTCTGATTATTTTCTATTATTGCAGGAGCTCCTTTACTAATATTTCTAATTTGAATAAGATTTTGTGGAGGCGCTGAAATGTTCAGGTTTGGCATAGATTTCCACAGTTCAGGAAAGACACTGAAAAATACCATTTTCTGATCGAGTTATTTCTGAGCCTTCAGTGCTGGACTATGACTAAGACCTCTCAATAGGGAAATGGATTTTTTTTTGTTTTAAAGGCACAATACTTTGATTAAATTGGGTAAATATAAACCTGTTTTCTAATCATTTTTCATCTATAAGTATAATAGATAGTAAAAGGGCATATCTTTATTATGTATTCATATTTAGAAAATAATGTTCAAAAGCATATTTGACTTTTTTCAGATAAACCTAAAGGAATAATAATAATAATAATTTCCTCATTTTGAGGAAGTATCTCTGAAAAATTTGTGCTGCATTTCACATTTTACCTCATTCTCTTTGGTCTTTTAATTGTAACTAATTTGGCAATCTTTTCTCTTTACAGATCATTCAACTTCAAGTGGCGCATTATCTTTTAAGCCTAGTCGATCATTGATTACTCTTCCTACTGCTCATGTGATGCCGTCTAATTCCAGCTCTTCAATTTCCAGACATAGGGAATCATTGACATCAAATGGCTCACCATGGAATACAAGCCTTATGCAGACATTGGGAAGCCATAGTAGAGGGGAGCAGGACTCGTCACTAGACATGAAGGACTTCCGACCCCTTCGGAAGTGGTCATCTTTATCCAAACTTATTGTTCCAGATAACTGCAGCCAGGGTGGCCCTGCACACACAGAGGAGTCAAGGAATGGTTTGGAAAAAACAAGGAGGGGCAAGGCTTTAATATCACAACTAAGGACAGTTGGACCTAGCTGTTTACATGATAGTATGGAGGTGCTTAAGTTAGAGGACAAGGAAATAAATAAAAAACGGTCATCAACTCTGGACTGCAAGTATAAATTTGAGAGCTGCAGCAAAGAGGACTTTAGAACCTCTTCCTCTACTCTTAGGAGACAAACCTTAGACATGACATACAGTGACTTACCTGAAAGCAAGCCCATTATGGCAAGCTCAGAGGGTTTTGAACCTCCAAAATATTTAATGCTTGGTCAGCAGGCAGTAGATGGAGTTCCCATTCAGCCTTCTGTAAGGACTCAGATGTGGCTTACAGAACAGTTGCGGACAAACCCTTTGGAAGGTAGAGCTACAGAGGACTCTTACAGTTTAGCTCCTTGGCAACAGCAGCAAATTGAAGAGTTTCGACCAGGAAGTGAAACACCAATGCAGGTAAAGCTCAAAATCTAATCTTTGCTTCCCTCTAGTGGATGTTATGAGTACAGTCGCACACTTGCAGTAAGCATAAGACAGTGTCCACAGTCGCATTGTTTTGCTTTTCTTTTCCCCTGTAAGTTAATAAGCAGAAATATTATAAACTTAAAATGTTGTGTTGATAAACAAAACATTTGAGACTAATTAACAGGAGAAACTTAAAACTTTGTATCTAACTTGGTCTTTGCTTTTCAAATGTTAAATGGGCATAAAAATAAACAAAGCAAAACTTATTCAATCTAAAGAAACTTGTAAACAAAACCAAAAAAGCTGACATGGAATAATAGAGCATTAACTTGGGGTACAAGATCTTGGATTTTGTTTCTGGTTCTGTGAGATTTAGAAGCTGGCTGATTCTTAACTTGTGATTACTTTCTCTGGGTCTCAGTTTCTTCATCTAAAATGAGAAGGGGGAACTATAGTCATTTGTAAAGTTTTGATAATTGTTGAAAATGTATCGAGGTTTATAAATCAGATGTGCTTATTTAAAAAATTAAATTGGATATCAAGATTTGTTTGTTAAACAGTTTAAAGTAAGCACTTTATGATAATAACATATATAAAGAAAAATAGGATATAGCCCCTAATAGCTCTAGGGAATAACATGTAAATGTATGAATTTCTTAATCTGGAAATGTTTGTGTTCCAAGATGATTTTCTACAGCTCATTTTAACAAAGAAACCAATTTTATGATGTAAATCCTGTCATTCATTTTTTATTATTAGAATTTTCTGAAACAAATTATTTTGAACAAAAATGGTAGAATTTCCCTAGAGTAAAAAAATTTAAATTACTATTCATTACTACTACTAATGAAAAATAATAAAGAATAAAGGAATATAATCTATGAAAGAATAAGGAGATCACTCATCCAGAAACCTCACAAATCTTGAGTACAGTCTCAAAACATACATACAACCTAGTGTGCTACATTCATAGGAGAGCCCTTAATATATCCCATGTGCCTTCTTTATTCTTACTTTAGACACAGTTCTTATAATCTTGATTATATATTTTTAAACCACATAACCAAAACAGAAGATCATTATGATTAGAGTACAAATTTATTTGTGATTTATCAGTTCAAGTGATTGAAAGGTAGGAAACCTTATTTTTCAAATACTATCACATTTTAGTTTTCAAATGGTTGTGATTTATGTGAGAACAGGGATCAGGCAGTTGTTTCTCCAACTAATGTCTTTAAACAGAATTGGCTGAGTATACTTATTCCAAGGTAAAGCAGGTATGTGAGAAAGATAACTGAGAAAATCGGGCAAATCTGAAGGAATAAGCACAAATTCACTCCTTTCATTTTGCTTTGACATACCTTTAAACAAGATTTTCCCTAACGTTGAAGCAGAGAGGATAGGGGGTTGGAAGTACATTGCAGAGAAAATTTTATTTTTAAATTTTCTTCCTAGCGTTTGGTAAGGGAGAAGGCTACTAAGGGACAAAATTTACATGTACCCTGGAAAGCCTTACTTCTTGATTAATCATACTGGGAATGGTCTCTTTATACTGCTTTTAAATTTTGGAAAGATGAAGCCAGGTGAAGAAAACTAGACACTTCAGTTGTAATCATTAAATGACTGCTTCCTTTCTAATTTCCTTCTTGGACTAGTGCAGAAAAAAATTCTTAAATACCTTCTCCTTGGAGCCACCAAGTACTCTATTTTAAAAGCTGTCATCATAGTTGTTTATTAAAAGTCTCTTTAAAACCTTAACTTCCTGTTAATATAACTTTTACATAAAGAGAATAACCTTAATATGGGTCAGCTCATCTGATAAATTGTGATTTTTTAAGCACAACTGCTAAACTCTAACTATGAGAAAAACTTTTTTTTTTTACAACTTAGGAAAGGAATTTGGCTGAAAGTCATGATCTAATACATAGATTTATATAGAACTTTGTAGTTCTTAGAGTCGTTTATTTCATTTGATCTTCATAACCTCCTTCCCCATTCCTTCCCCAGAGTTAATTTGTAACATGGAAGTTTTGCTCTTTTTAAGGACTCAGTCCAGAATAATTGTATTGAGCCAGCCACATAGTCTTATGTGTGTGATGTTCCTTGATCATCTGGAGTGCTGGTAGTGTAGTACTCTGAAGCATTTTACTTTGTGAATTATCCCCTCAGATGGTTTAGGATATAGGGCTCCATGTGCAATGTCCACCACTAGTCTTTTGTTTTTTTCCTCTGTAATCTGTCATACCTTTCGCCCCCTGTTCCCCCACCCCCACAAGCTTTCTGATTTTATAGACTGCGACAGAAGAGAAAAACAAAGTCTTTTTTTCTCTTTGGGAAGAATGCTCTCTTTCCACGTCCCCCTTGTGTTCCTTTTTTTGGAGGGGGTGGAATGGGTGGAGGATGTGTACTTCTACACCTAACAGCAATATCCATTAGATTCCTATAAGCGCACCGTACATCTCCCAGACAGTGGTGAAGTAGTGGTCTCTTTATTGACAAAGTTGTTTATCCTTTTTTCTCTTACATTCCTTAGAGTGTTTCTAAACTCTGGGTTCCAGTCATTAAAAAGGCGGAGATGAAATTTTGTGCCTGTTTAAATTATAAAAGTATTTTAATCAAGGTAGAGCATCTAATGATTTCAACATATTTTACTAAAGATCTTCTCTCTCTACAGAAATAAAAAATTTGATAAAAATGACTTAAAATTAAATAACTTTGTTTTTGTCTAACATGAAGTAAGAATGAAAATTTTATGTCTAACTTGGGAGTGTTTTATGTATTCTGTTACATCCTTTGAAAAGAAATAGTTTTAATATTTTTATTCTTTCTTATTTTAAAATGCCACCTATTTTGTCTTTAATTTTTTTACTATTTGAGATAACAGTATCAAAGATGCAGACACTATGACACTCTCTCTTAGATAGGATATGACACATTCATTTGGTAGTTAAAAAGTATATAAAATATATAAATGATTTTTATATGTTTTGATAAATAAAATTAGTAATGTATTTTACTTTTTTCATCCATCAACTTTTCTATATAATATTAGCATATAATTTCTAGACATTTTAAAGTATGCTGTTACTTAGCAGACGAGCAGATATTTTTAGAAAATTTATTATATTCCCACTTTGCCAGAAGACTCAAAAATAATCAAAGGATGAGTAGTGTTTAGGTAGGTAGTAGCAAATTCATTACTTTACATAGGTCTGCCCTCTTGTGTCTGGACTGGGAAGTTTTGATTTTATTTTATTTGGAAAAAGTCACCAAAAAAACCCTACAAAATCAAAACTATTTATAATTAGAATATTTTATAGTCAATGTCAATCATAAGTATATTATAATTTCACTGAGTTCAAGAACATTCATTTTAATGTAGGTAATTTTGATGATTTGCATTAAATAAACATTTTTAACCAATTAACATATAAAAGGCAACATTAAATATTTAAAAATTAGTTGTTTTTTAGTACCCTGTAAATTAAGATTAGAATTCATTCCATAGTAGAAAGTATTTGAACATTTAGTATTTAAAATTTTTAAAATACATTGTTTTCATATATCTTATTCGTTACACATCATGGTAGAATAAATAAGTTTCATTTAAAGAATAGGTTTTTGTTCTGTATCATTATCTAAGTTATAATATTCTGTACTCCTCACAGTGTAATATTTTGATTTCTATTAAGCATAATGAAGAACAAAAAAATTCTTTATTTCTGTTTTACTGAGGAAAAGCCCACAACATCACAGTTAATAGTTTGAAGTTAATGTTGTAATGAACAATGTGATGAAAGGAATTGGACTTACTAGTTAAAAACTTTCAGTTTTTAATATCAGTGTAGTTAATTATAGAACATGAATACTTATTGCATTGGTTAATTTACTGAGACCAGTGGAGTGAGTGGTGTATCATTTGTTATTTATAAGCTTTCTGGTTGTTATTAGGGATCTCATCTATAGGTGAGGCTTCACTTAAGAAGTCCCTGTGCCTCTGTTCTTCAGCTACCCATGAACCAAACTCCCTTCCCCTCCCTATTTCTAGTACCTCTCAGGGATTCAGAATAGTTAAAAGCAGTGTCTCCTTCACTATTCAGTTAGCAATACTTGTGTTAGAAGCCAAGGTCAATATTGACTATTTCATATTCTTTTAGTAATCATATTTTAGAAGATATGGTTAATTACACATTCTCTACTCCTTTAATAATTGCTATATTAGTTACATGTCTTTAATTGAAGTTAAAATTGTTCGATTATGCAGTATAGGTATAAACTATTTTAGATTTAATTTTAAACTTGGGTCAACTTAAATTATCAAAGTTTGGTGAATATATTTTCCAGCACTAATTTTTACTTTTATCATTTTACGAGTTGTTAGAAGATGTTTTAAAATGATCAGAGGGGAAATTGAAAATGTATTCAGAAAGAAAATAATTATAGATTACGATTGCCAGATTTATAATCTAGTTTGGTAGAGTAGCCTACAAAGTAAGTGTTTATCATGTGGTTGATAGATAAAGGAAAAATATCTGTATTCTACTACAGTTGACCCTTGAACAACAGGCATGAACTGTTAGGGTCCACTTATATGTGGATTTTTTCCTCTCTCTGCCATCCCTGGGGTAGCAAGACCAACCTCTTATCTTCCTCCTCTTTGGCCTACTCAATGTGAAGATGACGAGGATGAAGATTTTATGATGATCCACTTCCACTTAATGAATAGTAAATATACTTTCTTTTCCTTATGATCTTCTTAGTAACGTTTTCCTTTCTCTGGCTTACTTTATTGTAAGAATACAGTATATAATACATATAACATGCAAAATATGTGTTAATTGACTGTGTATGTTATTAGCAAGGCTTCTGGTCAACACCAGGCTATTAGTAGTTAAGTTTTTAGGGAGTCAGTCAAGTTATACGTGGATTGTCAGTGCCCCTTAACTCCTATGTTGTTCAAGGGTCAACTATGTAAATAATAGGACAAAAAGTTCATTTCAAAATAAAATCTAAGAATTAGATAATATTTGGAGAGAGAATTCACATTTTTATTTTTTAAATGCTTGAAATAGTATATTTTTCAGTAACTGGAATCTTTTATTCTTTTCCTTGCCTATATTGAGTATGAGGTTTGAACAGAAGACAACCTATAAAATCATCCTGAATCGTTAAGATTTTGTGATTCCAAAAATATAGTATGACAAGTTAGATACTCTAGCTCAGATAATCCTCTACAGTGCCTTAAATGAAGGTTAGAGCTCTTCTATTAGTATGTTAGTAATTATGGCTAATTATACTGTCAGGTATTAAATTAACCACCGGTTCTCATCTGTTAATTGTAATGTCCTAGAGAGAACAGATTTATGGTTTACTTACATGTACTAGAATTCTATAATTCTTTGAAACCATTTCTTAAGAGAAATTTTATTTATACAAGAGTATGGCCTTTTCCCTACTCGATTCTCGTAAACTTTTAAAATGTTAATATGGTATAGAAAAACGATACCAATTTCTATTTTAGAATGTAGGTTCTGATAAAGAGTTACTACAAAGGGTTTTGTATAATAATAATACTAAAGATAACACGTGAGGAGTCAGTGTGCTATTTCGAATAGTGACACTTCATTTGAATTATTATTTTGATACTTGTTGAAGACTTGAAAAATACCAAGTTTCAAAGAAGCTTTTACAACATAAATTATATTTTCCTCAAAGAGTGAAGCTAATGCTTTAGATATGAAGTGAACTTGTTACCAGTGCAGTTTTAAAACTAAACTCCTGTTTCATCTTTAGAAAAGATTTGGGATAGAAATTTATAAGTCATGTTGAGGAAATAAATCAACAGTTACATTTTACACACTTGTAGTCATTTTAAAGTTACTAATTTTTGAAAATAAAGCCCTTTTCATGTTTACAAGATCCAGCAGATGAATACATTTGCTAACAATTTGTTTTACTCTTAATCTTGACCTTTTCACAAAGATTCTTCTACTTTGGAAGTGTCCTGTTATACAGTATGGTTTCCCCCTCTTCATGGGATGACAGACTTTAAGCTGATGTGGTAAATTGCAGATCTGGAGGTTGCAGCAGAACTTCAGAGGAGCATCACGATGATGCAGATCAGCAAGAGGCATATTAAAATGAGACAGAAATTGATAAATAGGTTCTGGAAATTCTGACGTGCTTGTTGAGGCATTTCAATATTTGAGGCTCTTCTTATAGCAGAGCGAGTGAGGTATTGGACTTTCTCCATGACACCAGGGAGGCAGGAAGTCTGAAGTTTTAAATGGTCAAGAGAGAGATAAAAAGCTGGCAGCCAAACGTGAGATAATTGTCTTCTTTTAGGTGGCCTGGAATGTAAAAATAGTAAATGGATTAGAATCCTAGGTGTATCCTATTCTCTGAACAGGTATTCAGAGAAATTTTGCGTGAATTCATCTTCCTCAGCACTATTGTATTCAGAACATCAAATGTCTCTATAGTCTGTGTGTGTGTATGTGTGTGTTTGCATGTGTGTATGTGTTTCTATGTGTATCTCTTTCTCTGTCCTTTTTTGTGGGGCATACCCTGACAGTCTCATTTGTCTTGTGTTTGGGATGTTGTAACTTCAGTCTTTGTCATCTTCTCCCAAAATGACTAGAAGCATTATAGTAAGTCCTCATTTAATGTCATTGATAGGTTCTTGGAAATTGTGACTTTAAGTAAAACCACGTATAAGTAAACCAGTTTTACCTTAAGCTAGTTGATGTAAATGAGAATTAAGTCCCTATGGCATATATTTGGTCACAAAAACATCACCAAAATTCCAAATAAAGATCCAGGATGCTTCTCTCTCTCTCTCTCTCTCTCTCACACACACACACACACACACACACACACACACACACACACACACACAGAGATAGATTTTTTTTTTTTCGTCTTTTTGAGATAGGATCTTGCACTGCTGCCCAGTCTGGAGTAGAGTAGCACAGTCATAGCTCACTGCAACCGCAAACTCTTGGGCTCAGGCAGTTCTCTTGCCTCAGCTTCCCTACTAGATAGGAGTACAGGTGAGCACCACCATGCCTGGCTAATTTAAAAAAATTTTTGTAGAGACAGGGTCTCGCTTGTTGCCTGGGCTGATTTCAAACTCCTGGCCTCAAGCAATCCTCCCACCTTAGCCCCCTAAAGTGCTAGGATTGCAAGCATGAGACACTGCACCTGGCTACATGCTTCTAATATTAAACATTGAAATAAATGGGAGCTATATATATGTGTTTAAGAAAGATTAATAAAAACAAGATATTTACCCAGTTTTTGGTGAATCAGTGAGTGACGGCAGTTGTGGTGGTCGGTTAATTCAAGGAATAAATGTTTGCAAAGTGAAAATTGTCAGGAGTGCCTCCATGCAGATCAAAAACAACAGAAATGGCTGGCTCACTGAGGGCTTTCATGCTGCCTCATTTATTGTTGTGCATTTGTGTGATTACCATAGACTTCACAAATTTTTATTTGACAATAATTTTTATTCATTTGTTCATTTCCCAACCCACTTATTCTGGCTCAGGGTCGCAGATGGCTGGAGCCTTTCCTGGCAGCTCAGGGTGCCAGTCAGGAACCAGCCTTGGACAGGCTGCCATCCTATCTCAGGGCACACTCACACACACCCACACTCACTCACACAGGGATACTTTAAACACACCAGTTCACCTAACATGCACATCTTTGTGATGGGGGAGGAAATTGGAGTACCCAGAGAAAACTCATACAGAGGTAGGGAGAACGTGCAGACTCCACACGGACAGTCACACTGTTATAGTGAAACGACGTTGAAGGAAAGATGATATTTGAGACCTGCTATATTTGGTTTAGGGTGCGCCTTGTTTTGGGCAGAGTTCTTACATACAGTTTCGTTAAGTCTTTTCCTCTCTAGACATAATTGGTGTGAACACTTAGTGTATTAATAGCTCCAGAGCCAATCTCATAAAAGAAATGCATATAACAGATTATTTCCTGGATCTTAATTTTGGTCCAAAATAAAATAGTTAAATGAAAAGTGTTTTACCTGAAATATAAATTCAAATTTTTTGTCATTCCTTATTATGATTTTATAGCTTTGTAGAATATTATTTTAAATAACATTTAACAAGCTTTGATACTAAGTGTTGAAAACTTCAAGCTTGGAAGGCATAGTAATTGTTATCTTATTTCACTGTTTATTGCAGGCAGTTCCTATTCACAGATGACCTGCACTTGAGAGCAGTGGTTTCCCTCTTGCCTTCTTTCAGAGCTCGCCCAAGCTATTGCTGCCTGTGGAGCCTAAGCTTTGATAACTAATAAACAAAACAAAATAAAAACATAACAAATATTATAGACAAATGAGATATAGATCAAAAATTAACCATATATTTATTGACTGTCCAGAGATAATGGCTATTAACACTGGGGGATATCTATTTTAAATCAGAACACTTCTTCTGTATGAACTTTGAAATAAGAAAAATTAAAAATAGAGTAAAAACCTCATAATTTAACTGCCCAAAGATAATGACAACAAATTATCATTTGTTGATATATTATTATTAATCAAAATATTGCTACCTTACCCCAGCTGCCAAATTTCATTTTCTACCTAGTCTTTATACATCCCTTAAAAGTCCATCTCAACCTGTCAGCCCTTTCTTGAGAGAGACAAGTGAAGAAAAGAGTAGAGGAGAGTACTGAAAAAATGTGAAAGGGGAAGGTATGTGTCAGGCATGACCAGTTAGAGCTTGATGTTTACTTTACAAAGAAACCATATGGTAAATGGTGTTTAGATTCTGTAGGTTTCAGTAGTTCAACTTAGCTCTCTTATATTTTGAATTGTATGATAGATTGGGCTTTCGTTTGACTTGGGACTCTGTCTTCTTTCATAATATTGGCCTGCAGCAAGGAGTTCCAAACAGCCAACTTACATCAAACCTCATTTTCTTAAAGAATTGGTAGCAACTTGTATTTCTCTAGTGTATATTATTTATTGTCCAAACAGGTGGCTAAAGGTTGTTATTAAATTTATCTATAATGTTCCTTACTTAGAAAATGGCAACTTAAACTTGATATGTGTATGTGTTTGTTTGCTTATTGATTATTTTAAGAGACAGGGTCTCACCCTGTTGCCCAGGCTGGAGTGCAGTAGCATGATCATAGCTTACTGTAACCTCAAACTCCTGGGCTCAACTGACCCTCTCCTGCCTCTCCCTCCACCTCGCAAAGTACTGGGATTACAGGCATGAGCCACTGTGACTGGCTGGTATATATTTAATTTAATTACTTTTATTTGAATTCTTCATATAAAATATTATAGAAATAACAGATTTTTCTCTTGTTCTTTAAGAAGATGCATCATTTAAGTTGCTTTTGCTTATATTTGCTTATAGATCTAGTCAGTTTATACTACTGGGAAATTATGGGAAGATTTTCTTTATTCCTTTATGGATTTGCCTAGTTGCTTTGTATTAATATGAGTAACAGTTAAGAAAGGAATAAGCATTAACATTGGTAATTTCTATTTGAACTTACATTTTTGTAGGGGTTTCAGGGCTTAAATGGCCTTAAAAGGTCTGAATTTTAAACATTATGTTGAGATAAAACATGGAAAAGGAAGGAGCTGGCCAGGAGTTTATCATGAAGCATATATAGGACTCATCCTCTACCCTGACACTGATGAATGGTACTTCAGTGACATGAAACATGTCACCTTTCCATAAATACTCCATTCCCTTTTATGATTTTGTCCTTTGCACATGTTGTTCTGTCTCTGCCTGGAATGCCCCCCTCCACCCGCCTCCACCTTTTGATTCTCTGCCAAACAAATTTCAGTTGATCCTTAGGGCCCAGTTTAAATATCACTTCTAATAAAACCTTTCAGTAGTCATTTAGACAGAACTGGTTATCACCTCTGCTGGTTTTCAGTAGGGCTTTAGTGCTACTTATATCAGGATATCTATCAGATGGTGTTATAATTTCAATTTACGTGTCTGTGTCCCCAGTGAGACTTCTAGTATGAGTAAAGAAACGTGTTTATTTTGAATCCTAGTACTTAGGGCATAATTGGTACCATTTGAATAAATCAACAAAGTTGAATAAGGGAATTTTATGAGTAAAAATTTTAGAAAATTGTTGATGATCAAAGATAGTACTGTGATTAACAAGTTAACTGGTTAGAATAACAGAGTTTGATGTTGAACACATAAACTCTAATATTCTCCTCAAGTCTCTTCCTATCACAGATGAGGAAAATGAGGCTTAGAGGATTTGCCTAAATTCATGGTCTCCTGATAAATGCAACATTAATCTGAACTAAGCTTTGTACAAATGGGTATTTGGTGTTTGTGAAATAACCAAGAGGCATGCCCAAAAGAGATGAGCTCTCTACTGTTGAAAGTATAATTAATGTACTTTAAAGGTGATCTTATAAAACTGCAACAGCTGTTATTGAAAAAAGAGAGTTTGTTCTTGGAAACTATTTTAAATAGAGTATAAAGGAGATGACCAAACATAGTGTCCTGTTTCTCATCAAACTTAAAAATATGTCATAATCCTAAAGTGATTTGTAGTTACTTTTTAGTCTTAGGCTAAAACAGAAAACAAATCTGCTTTACATGCTGAAATGTTAGTGGTATTTAATTTATTGGGCTCAATTTATTTTACAGTGGTATAATCTGAAATGTGTTGAGTCATAATTCTGCTGAACTTCCAAACTCTCTATCATAATAATTAAGCCAGATTTCATCCATAGAATATGGAGCTTCCTTCATATGTTGAGAATTGAAAAGCTTTGTGTGAGAATAGCACAATCCTATTTTTGGAGTTGTCTATGACCGACCTTTACTACTTTATAATTTATGGCATGGTTGTCAGGTGTTTATCATTCTTTTCTCTGTCTCCACTGACAATCACCCTATGAATTTAGAAGTCCTGCAGTCTTTTTTTCTTTTTATAAATTTCTTATTGCTAAGCTGTTTAATAGAGTAAATTTGGTGGGGAGCACAGAAAAATAGTTTAATTTTATTTTCATGTTATCTGATCTTTTTAGACCATTCTTTTTTTTTGAGGGTGGGATGGGGTCTTGCTCTCTTGCTTGGGGTAGATTGCAGTGGTGTCATCATAGGTCACTGCAACCTCAAACTCCAGAGCTCAAGCGATCCTCCTGCCTCAGCGTTCCCAGTAGCTGGGACTACAGGTATGCACCACCAAGCCCAGCTACTTTTTCTATTTTTTGTAGAGACAGGGTCTCGCTGTGTTACTCAGGCTGGCCTCAGTACTCCTAGCCTCAAGTGATCCTCCCACCTTGACCTCCCAAAGTGCTAGGATTACAGGTGTGAGGCAC